TTTACAGACAGATATAACCGTAGCAAAATTACAGGGATGAGGTAGCAACAGAAATGATTTTATGGTTGGGAGGTCACCACAACATGAGGAACTGTATTAAAGAGCAGCAGCATTAGGAAGGTTGAGAGGCACTGTGCTAGAGGCTAGATAGCCATTCACACACAAGTCTAAGTTTATAACAACTACAAAGGCCTTCTTACCCTGGACCAGCCAGGATTCCTGATATTTCCGTTCCCTCGCTGTCCCCTTTGTAAGCCCTTAGCCCAGGACTGACCCAAGCCTCTCATGCATCCTCCAAACTGGGGTGGGGGTGGGGGTTGACCCGTGTTCCAGCTCCTGTCCACAGGCCCTAGACTTGTCGTTCTCAGGAAGGGAGCAATGGGGAGTCTGTGTAACAGGCCCTGGAGCTCTACTGGCCCATTTTTCTGTTGTGGATCCGAGTGGAACCAGGCCCTACCTTTGATATGGGTCATAGAGATTTGATAGCTTTTCTGTGTGGACTACCTCTGCTTCCTCTTCTTTCTCTCTCTCTTGGGCTATCTCTTTTATGCCAGGTTTGGTTCACAATTTCTTCTGCTGGCCACTGTCTTTCCTGATCTCTGTTTTTGTTCTAGGGCAAGGCCTCTGCCCCTTCGGTCACAGTTTCCATCCTGTGTTTTTCTAATCCTTCCAGCTGCCACTGACTCTTGTCTGTGTCTGAACACCTCTGCTTCATTTCTAGTTTCTGTCCAATGGTGTGTTTGCTGTGGCTCATTCTTTCTGTCCCATCAGCCACTCTGTAGGGTGGGGGGGGGCAGCAAGATGGGAGAGTGAAATGGAGCAGGAAAGACTCCATGTGGAGGTCTTTCAGCCCTCAGAGCTGCCCACCCTGCTACGCCCCAGGAACATGCTCAGGCCAAGGCTGGACTGAGGAAACTCATCTGCCTGGCGAAAGAAACCTTCCCAGGAATTCCCTGTGGATGACCCCGGCAGCACCTGAGGGAGGGCAAGCGCCTTTCTAGAAAGAGGTCCCACCTGTGTAGTTTCCAAGGAAAACACCGCCTTGCCTTGACGGATGGAGCGCCTGGAGGGAGCAGACTCCACACACCATAAATTGCCAGCCTGACTTTCATCTGAAGCCACTTACCCCCATGTCCGAGGTTGAGGGCCTTCTGGGCCAGAAGGGGGTTTGCACAGCTGGATTAGGTGCTGAGAGGGGAGGCCTGAGAGCCAGCGACTCTGGGAGAGCCACAGATCTGCAAGACCTCCAGCAGAGAGGCCTGGGGTGGGCTATACAGGGCACCTGGGGCTGTGCAGTTTGTGGTGGTGTGGCCCTGATCTCAGTCAAGGTGGCTTCTCAGCTCCATCCCGGTCTAGACCGGGCAGTATGAAGAGTGAGACAGGAGGAGACAGGAGGGCCACAGGAACAGAGGACCCAGCTGAAAACAGCCAGCTTAAAAATCCCAATCCTCTTCCCCTCCCCTCCCCTCCCCAACGCATCCTCAGAAACTTGAGGAGAAGGGTGTTAGCTTGGCTTCAGTAGAAACCACCATCATTCATTCTTTCGTTTGTTCATTCATTCATTCGTTTGGCATTTTCCAGGTATCACACAGTGTGGGAAGTGCTCCGGTCACCTGTGTGCACTTTATATTTTCTGCCTTAGAAAAACTGGCAGCATTTAGGTGGACACATCCAGAGTATAAAGTAGAGAGAGTTACATGAGAAGATAAGAGGCACCTGGGGGAACCAGAAGGAAAATCTGGGGACCTCTGGAGTTCCTTTGCCGCTGAATAAAGTTGGGAAGGCTTCCTGGAGGAACTGGTTCATAAGCTGCATGGGATTTCAGGCAACTGGAACATACAGAGGAGCCTGAAGGAACAGAGGAGGAGGCAGAGGCCAATGTCCAGAAAGCCAAGGGTCAAGAAGCAGACAACAAGGAGAAATAAGAACAAGAAAGAGTTGGGAGGGTCCAGGTTTCTGGAGGCAAGGCACCGAGGAGGACAGTTTGGGGCAGGTGAGAAGGTAGGGCCACTTGCATTGAAGGTTTAGAACGTGTGAAATGGTGGGAGTGAGTGGGAGGATGCTGCCCAGGAAGATGTGACTTAGTGTGGGGATGAAGCTGGCCTGGAGCCTTGGTGTCTCCAGGATTGAAACTGAAGGATGCCAGCACCTTCCCCTGCCTTGAGACTCAACGCAATCCTGCAGTAACTGGTGATGGCCATTGATGTTATGTGACCTCAGGGTACTGGTTCAGGTCAGGGTTCTCCCCTTCTACCTGAACAGGATCAGGATATTGGAGTTCCCACCTCACTGAGCACATGTCCTCAATGCTTCGCCCTTTTTGGCCCATGTAGTACCGGGGTGTGTCACTCTCCCACAGGCACACTGTCCCACTTGGTGAATTTTGCTTCAGGGACCCACACACCCTGCTCTGTGTAGATGTAACTATATTGTTTAATAAGAAACACAGAGCCAAATACAGAGTTAAAAGCCAAGAGGTCAGAGCAATAGCTAAGAGCTAAGATTAAAAACCTTACCCTTCACTGCCGCTGCTGTCCTACCTCTCCGCAAGAGACCTACTTTCTGTGTGTTTGTGCTCTAAATTGACTTTCTATTCTGCCTTCTCATTGGTTGTAAACCCAACCACATGACCTCTTCATCACTGCCTGTCTGTACAGACCTCCAGGTCTTCTATGGTTGGTATTGAGATTAAAAGAGTGTGTCTCCATGCTGGCTGTATCCTTGAACACACAGAGATCTGCCTGTCCTGTGATTGGGATTAAGGGCATGTGCTACCACTGCCAGACTTCTGCTATGGCTTGCTATTAGCTCTGACCCCCAGGCAACTTTATTTATTAACATACAAATAAAATCACATTTCAGTACAGCTCTGCTCTCTGCACAGCCTGAATGTGGGCAGAATGTGTTCTTCCCAGGACTCCCAAGTGCGGCTGTCTCATATGTGTGTCTTCTTCTATTTCTCTCCTCAGTGGAGTCCCTCAGCGCTCCTGGGCTTATGCTTTGGAAAAAGGGAACATTTGCTAACCAGAGAGTAGGTCCCTGCTTGTGTGACGAGAAAGCCAAGAGAAGCTGTGGGAGGAGGAAGGAAGTCATGTCATCCTGACATGCTGTCATCAACACCATTGTTGCCATCATCCTCACCATCTTCATCATCATCATCATCATCATCATCACCATCACCACCACCACCACCACCACCATCACGGGCTTCACCATGCCTTTGCCAACATAGTGGGCTGAAACCTCCTGAACCCATCAGCCAAAGTAAATCTTTCTTCTCTTAATTTGTTTCTGACTGATTGTTTTTACTGCTGCCATTTTTATCACAGTGACAGGAAAGTAAATAATATAGACTTCAACCTAAGAATTTGGGGGATACATGATCCTGTAATGGGGAACTTGCCTCTGGGGGCAGATAGACACAGCGAACAGAAATCAGGGTGGTTCAACCATGGCAGAGTTACAAACAAGCTGAAAGGGTACAAGGGGGACCAGGGAAGACTGGAGAAGGGGTTTTGGACAGGTGGGAGTCTCCCACGGAGAGAGGCCTGTGTTGCCTAATGGCATGAGTGGCGGCCAGTTCAATTCCTTATCTCCAGGGTCCCCACAGGGCCCGGCTCAGAAATGAGGCTCCATTGCGGGACAGAGAGGTGGAAAGATGAGATCGGGGCTCCCTTGGGTTGAGGAGGGTAAGTTCTTGTGTAGATGACCTCGGAGGAGGGAAGAGAAGGAAACAGCCCTGCCTGAGTGTCTGAGTAGTCACGAGCATGGGGAAAGCCTGGCCAGGCAAAATGTAGATGAAGAGAAACAGGTTAAGTTATAAGAGCTAGCAAGAAACGAGTTACGCTAGGCCAAGCATTCATAACGAATATTAAGTCTCCATGTCATGATTTGGGAGCTGGTCGGTGGCCCAAAAGAAAGCCTGCTACAGCATGCCTATGATCCCAGTATTTTGAAGGCTGAAGCAGCAGGATTGCTTGGAGTTCTCTTGGATACACAGTGAGTTTCAGGCCAGCCTGGGATAGAGTGTCTCAAAAATAAAAATAAAAAAAAGGGGCAATAACTAATAGCTGTGTGTTATTACCAGCACCTCACAGATAATAGTAATGGATTACCATGACAGTTAACTTTCTTTTTAAGACAGGCTTTCATGTATCCCAGACTGGACTTGAACTTGCTATGAAGCCAAAGATGACCATGAACTTTTAAAAAGTTGTATTTATTTTATTTTATTTGTATGAATGTTTTGCTTGTATGTCTGTCTGTCTTCGTTTGGGTTTCTATTATAAAGGAAAACATTTAACTGGGAAAAAAAAAAACACAAACTCAGAGCACTATTCAGGGAAGGGAGAGAGTGTTAGGTAGGGGAGGATGGAGGAGCTGAGAGGTGAACGCCAGTGTTACCTGTGACTTTGTACCCATTCTGAGCCAGTTTGCTCCCCCGTGGAATAAACACACCTCAGAGCCAGAGCACTCCACCATCGCGGAAGGTTCTGTTGGATGGGGTTGCATTAGACTCCTTACCATGCAGTCCCACAGTCCCACAGGGAGGGGGCGCTCCAAGGCTGGACAGGCCCGCTTGCTGTGTAGCTTGCTAAAGAAAGGGCTCCACTTCTCTAGGCTAGCTCATCAATAAATGAGGGGATGGACTAACGGACTTTAAAAGAAACAAAAGACTGAGTCTAGGACTTGGAGCTTGCTTTTCTTCCCTTGAAGGAAGGAAAAGGAAGTCTTCACTCATTGTCCCCTTGTCCTCTTTTCCCTCGGTTGACCCCAACCTTCCGCCACCCAGAGCACAGCTCCCAGCGACCTGGAGAACTTTTGTATTTACCGCTTAGCACTTGCTGTACGCGGCTCTGGCCTTCTTTAGAAGCCTTTTCTTTACGAGTTTATTTTGGCTTGTGCTAAGCATTCATAAAATTCCTAGGGAACTGGAGGTTCAAAAGTCGGGCTTGTGGAAGGAGTAGGTGGGAGGGGGTGGGAACAGCAGAGAGGGGCGAGGCAGGGCCAGCCCTGGGAAGCTGGAGGAAGAGGCCGTTTTTCCATTCTCCACTCAGGGCCTTGCTGGCCGCCTGTAAGTCTTGGGTCTTCTGGGTCGTGAACGGGGAGAAGGGGTGGAGGAGAGAGAGAGGCGTGGGGTGGGATGTGAGGTGAGGTGAGCCTGTGGGAGGAAATGCAGGCCTGGGAGGGCTGAGCTCTTCCCACCCGCAGCAGAGCCGTTTCTGATAGGGGTCCCGCTGGCTTGTCTTGGGTTTTCTTGTCATTCATCTCCTCCTTGGACAGGGGCTCCACGGCAGGTTGGAGGCAAGGATGAACGCCTGAGCACAGGGCATATGAAACAAATTAGGTCTCCGTTACAGCCACCCAGAGGCGGGTGATGGATGGGGCCTGTGCTCTCAGCAAAGCTAATTGGCAACACACAGAGACATCCAAGAAAGTGTATTATTTTGCCAGACTTTGGAGTCATCGGTTCCCATCCCCTCCCCATCTTTTTTTTTTTTTAATTGTAGAACACTATACAGCCAGAGATAAAAAGCACAGTGAAAGTTTTAAATCTAATAAAAAGCATTGATTGCAGAGTAAAAATCATGAACACAGAAAAGTTTGGTTTGTATTCAGGTTTTATTAATGTTCCTTCATTGCAAAATGGTTCCAGTTAAAAAACAATTCAGAGAGCGCCGCCTTAATAAACAGCTGTCCTTCTGAAGGGCCACAGATGCTATGGTAGATATGCTAGTGCTTGCATATCGCGCGCGCGCGCGCGCGCACACACACACACACACACACACACACACACACACACACACACATACCAGAAGCAGGAGGCTGTTACAAATTGCCCTTAGACCTGGGCAGAGAAGAAAAACCTCCTGATTGAGGTTGGAGCAAAAGCACCTGAAGTTTGTTCAGGGCCACCTGATCTAAGAACCCCAAATAATGTACAAACTGTCACCAGTGGAAATCAGCATGGTATTCTAGGTCCCACTTTCCTTATTTGTAAAGTAGGATTTTTGTTTTCAGTGGCCTCTGAGGATCTCAGGATTTCTCTAGGAAATCACAGGCACTTATTGTTTGTTCTGGAGTGTTTTTAAGCTTTGTTTTAGGAAATAATTACTAGATCTAACATTGGTCAGCAATGGAAAGATATCAAACCAGAGTTAGAAGCTGGCAAGCCAGGAGCTGTGCCCGTGTGTCACCGTAAAAGAGTACCTAGTCACAGGACGGGGTCCTGTGGGAAGTTTACAAGACAACCAGGCGACAGCATCATGGGGTGGGCAGGTGTGGGCCATGTTTTTGACCAGTGGTTTCCAAAGGACCTTCGCATTTGCAAAGGCTGGTCAATGAATCAGTTCCTATACTAGTCCCCAAACCGTTCTTTTTATAATAACTGGTCATTTTCACTTAAGTGTCTGTTTAACTGTATTTAACTGTTTTGTTTTCTGCCTCCACAACTGGCGTTTTTTAACTCTAGGGAGAAAATAGAATTCTAGCTTTTTAAGATGGCTTGAGCTGTTGGATCCATAGGGCTAGCCAGGTTTGGAGAGGTCATTCGCCTCTCTCTGGGAGGCCCAGCATGTGGTCATCAGTCAGCTCAGGGAAGCAGGTCACAGACCTGAGGATAGTCTGTCTTCTGCTCTGTGGTGGCTGGGAGGAAGGGTTCTGTTCTGCAGGGCACATTTGGAAGCTGGATGTCCTCTAGCAATGTCTGCACCCCACCAGAGCCGATCCCTGACTCTGCCATGCATAACTCCCCAGGGCAAAGAGCGCGGGGACCAGAGTCAGGACATACACGTGGAGCCAGGCCTGCTTCCGAAGCCTCTGCTCCACCAAGCTAGTGCAGTTGGCTCAGCATCGGCTGGAAAGCTGTGGGGCCGGCTTCCCAAAAGGCAGAGAGGAAGGGAATGAACGTATCTTCTCTCGGCAGTGGCTCTGGGTCCTGCTCTGCCCTGCCCTTCCCCACGGCTTCAATGCCCACGTGAACTTAAAAGGGTTCATAGAAAGGACAAAATTGCTGGTGTTGGATCTAGGCCTAGTTTTCCAGGGAACACTGGGTCTGCCCATCTCTGCACAACTGCAGGACCCAGTGGGCCGCTCTGCCCCCTCATCCCATCGCCTGTCTCTATTACATACCCCCAGAGCCTTGGCTGGCCTGGCCTGGTGATGACCACTGCCCGATGCTCTCTCCTTTCCACCTTCCCAGGGCCTGGATGGCCTTTGAGTAAACAGATAGCCCGGTGAGGTGTGTGATCAATTAGCTTTGCTGAAAATACAATCATTTTGTTATTCCAAGCTGATGAGGAGGCCTCTTCGGCCTGCTCTCCCAGCCTCCACATGCCAATCAGCCCGTGTCACCGATATAATTTTCCACATAAACACAACCTTTGTGCAACATCTACTCTTGTAAATAGATGTAATTCCCTAACCAAATAGCGCACTTGGAGGGGAAATGGATATTATGCATGCAAAAAGAAAAGCTGGTGATTTTTACACTTTCCAGGCAACAAAAGATTACCCCTAATTGCAAATGGGGAGGGGGGCTCTGGGCAGGGGAAGGGGAGGGGGCAGCTGCTGGGAGGCTGGGGAGGCCTGCTTCCAGGCAGATTTTTTTTTTTCTCCTCTCTGCACGTGTGGGTGAAGACCACCAGGAACTGCCTAACCCGGGACTTGTCCTGTTTAGGCAGTGGGGAGAACGTGGATGTTGTTGATATCTGAAAGGAAACGGAGATACTCTCTGAACCCTAAACCATACACATCCTGTCGGAGCGTTTCCCCCTGCATCCCTGCTCGGAACAGCTTCGGTGGGCTGTGGCCCGCGACTCCCTCTGTAATGCATTGGTGTGTCTCTTTCAGTGTTCTGCTCATTTCCGCATACTCCTAAATTAGACCTTGAAAGCAGCGGAAGTTGCTGGGCAGCTAGGCACTCAGAGCACCACAGAACCCACTGTGTAATCCCAGCCAGGTCCCTGGTGCTCTGAGGGCTGTGGAAAAGAAGGCTGAGAAATCCCTGCCTCAGCCTCTTGCCTCCCTAGCGGTGCCCCCTGGTGCACAGGAGAGGAAAAGCCCGTGAGTCTCGGTGTGCCCTGGTCCCTGGCTGACTGAAGAAGGAAGGGACAGAGCTGCCAGCCGGACTCCCCGGCATGGCCGAGTGGCCCCCTCCAGTCAGCCTCTGGGCTCTACCTCTGAACGTCTTAAAAGGCCACAAGGTCGAAGATGTAATTGCAAAGCTGCATTATCAGCAGGTGAATGATGACATCTTGTCCTGAAGAAATCCTTGATGCTTTTGTAGACTACGTCGAGGTCTTTACTCAGTCTGAGTCCAAAACAGCAATGAAGAGCAAACCAGGCAATGCAGGTCTGTAGGTCTATGTACAAGAGGGAGAGAGGGGAGGCCAGCCAGCGTGGGTTACAAAGAGCAAACAGAGACTCCCAGCTTCTTTCTTGGTTCTTTCTCCAGGCTCGGGGAAGGTGTGTGTGTGGCTCCATAATTTGTTTGCTACACAAGATTCTTCTCTTTAGTCTCTCCCCAACCCCCACAAAACCCAGCTGAAGAACCTTCCCCCCTGAGCGTCCCTTTGGTCCCCGGTTTCTAAAGCCCATCTGAAACTCATTAGCTGCTTGAGATGATTGTCATGGGAGCCCTTGATGGAGAACAAGAAAGGGAGAGGGGTACTTTTAAAGGCTAGAAATAGGGATGTGGGTGCGTGCGGGTGCAGGCAGATGTTTAGAAAGCTGGCTATTGAGGAAGGGTGTAGAGGCAGACTCCTCGCCTGACCCTGGCCTTGGAACCACCTTCTCCACGTCTCCTCCACTTCCACACTGCCTGTGTCTCTCTCAGCCCCTAGAATTGCCAGCCTTCTTTGGGTCTCCTTTGCTACGGCAAAGAGCCTGCCTGGGATGCCCCACAGCCTGATCCCAGGGACCTGTTTAGCACCCCCGACTCTGTACAATGACTTAATTCCTGTCCTTCGCAGATCACAGTGAGACTGTATTTCAAATAACAAAATCTTAAACTATAAGAAATATTGGGCCGGGCGGTGGTGGCGCACGCCTTTAATCCCAGCACTCGGGAGGCAGAGGCAGGCGGATCTCTGTGAGTTCGAGGCCAGCCTGGGCTACCAAGTGAGT